AACGAATAAATGCATTTTTACACAGTCTTATTATAAAAACTTATAGGTATGTTTTTTAAAAGCATCAGCAAAAGTCCCTATATCATCTTTTTAAATTCTTAAAACAGTTGTCTTTAGATTATTTTAGCGTTCAACATTTTGTGTTCTTAGACCATTTTTATGAGTAGTAATCAAAAATAAAAAAAATTGTCTGAACATTTATTTTTACTAACTATTTAATGTTAATTTTTTATATTATATGTATGTATATATATATTTTTTTTTTTGAGCTGCTGTTGATATAGCTTGAACTAAATTAGATACTTATTTATATTGACTATTTTGGTTTTTTTTGTGGTGTGATTTCAGACATAGGGCATAATTAAAACATAAAAATAAAATATTAATTTCAAACCATTTTATTGCATTTTAACATTTTGAAGCATGGTGGTATAAGTAGTATACTACTTTTTCAAAAAATAGTCTACTCTCGCACAGTTGTATATATTTATTACCACCTTCATAATCATGTTCAGAGAAAATCGGAGAAAAAAATGCTGTGCTTCAAAGGGTTAAAATTTATATTGAAATTCAACATTTAATTTACTATTTTATTATTTATAGAAGTATAATTATAGAAGTATAATTATAAGTATTCGCTCCACCCTAAAAAGTATAGTAAATCTATAGATTTTGCTATGTTTGTTTAAATTGATACTACATAATGAAAAATAAAATTATTTTAAAATTTTTGATTATTATCATTTAGTAGGATGAATTGTTGGTTAGCCATCTAAAAATATATCAACATATGGATTTATATACCTTTCATGGTTTACTTAAAAAAGTATTAATGTATATATCAATTTATCTATTATGTATAAAATATGTCTGGATAAGTATCAAATAATTTAGGTATTTTATGCACTGAATATTATTATTATTATCATTTTGTACTCTGACCGTTTTTATAATCACCGCCGGACACTCGAATAATCAAAAATATTTGCTACAAATTATTTCAGACATTTCATTCATGTTTTGTACTCTTGAGTTCCTAAGTAACCGTCACACAAACATATCATTCTTCCACACTTTTAAACTTCTAAAAACCAACAAACGTCAGACCTTAAGTATCAAAGTACCTTTAGCATTAAAGGTCCAGATCCAAAAACTAAAAGATTTGCATTGAGACATTTCATTTAACCTCTCTTTGGACATTTTTATAAGCTCTGCCAAATAGTCAATCAAAAATCAAAATAATGTATTTATCACTCTTCACTTCTTTCCCTTTTAAGTTTTAATATAAACTAGACATTTCATTCATGTGATTTACTCTTGAATTCTTAAACACTTATGAACTTCTGTTAAACCACCAGACATTTAATATACATATTTAATGCATTATGCTGTTGGTTACATTCTAAACGTACAGTACGTCATTACCGAATAATGGCATAGACGGTGATTTCTGAACAAATAAGGATTTTAATTCAACCAATATCTAGATATATAACGTATACGTTTGAAAAAGTTTTGTTGCACATAGGAACACCATATCAGACATATACAGACTGACCTCTAAACATTTCTTTCTATTTTTAACCATAGCTATTATCAAGCCCGTGGAGTAAACAACACCTCAAACAATTCAAATTAAAAAAAAAAAAAAATTGTCTTTTAAGCAAGTAGCACACTCGCTTTAGTAGTAGGACGTTTCTGATCTGACAGATAGCTAGACTTGCACTACAGTTAACCGGTACTTAGCTTGCAAAACACTTTTTCGAAACTAAGTATGAACTATGATTACTAGATAAAGGTACGATGAATTATAACGGTATACTTTAAAACGTAGTGAGCTGACTCGACACCGTGGCCGGCGTAGCCGGGCACCCCCCTCGGAACTGCTGTGTACAGACATATAACATACTACGTTTAAACAAATTTTGTTTCACAAAGGTAAACCTTAACAGACATTTAGCTGACTGTCCTCTAGACATTTTTATCTGTTTTCAACTCATAAAGTTAAGCGGGATGACACCGGCCTATATTGATGACGTGGTCTATAATATAAAAACTTTTACCAAAGACAATTTCCATTATACACTTTTTCCCAATGGCCAGCTTCTTATCAAGTCTCTTTAACTTTTTAAAATTTTAATTTGAACTTAATTTTAAACCTGTTACCTCCTCATAGACTAGCGACAAACCTAGGATATTTTTAATTGGCGGAGCGAAGCGACGGCGCCGAGCGAGCGAATGCTAAATACATTCGGAGACCTGCCGTCCTTATCAGTTATCAATACGAATTTCGCCCGCTGATAAGGAACTGGACATTGGTAGTTCATACAAATTGGTAAAAGTGGTAGCAACCCAAGTAAGCAACACCGGACACTTGATATTTATTAACCGTCTAACTTCTAGACTATTCTTTTCAATTTAAAATTTAAAGAAATTACAGATACATAGCTAGACTTACTCTTCACTTAATCAGTACTTAGCTTGCAAAATATTTGTCCATAACTAGGTATGAATTCTGATTACTAGATACAGCCTATAGGTACCATGAATTATAACGGCATTCCTTTAAGACGTATTGCGATGGCTCGACACCGTGGCCGGCGCAGCCGGGCACCCCTCTAGGAACCGCTGTGCACTGACTTCCACATACCGTGGCCGGCGCAGCCGGGCACCCCCCTCGGAATCTGTGACCTCCCCGAAAATACTTTGCAGCGAGGGGACGTGAGCGTGCCCGGCGTAGCCGGGTACAGTACCGGGAATCTGTGACCTACCCGCCCGACTCGGGGGCCTGGGGGCGGAGCCCCCAGCTAGAGCGAAGCTCTAGTATAATAAATAAAAATGCTACATACGATTGTTACTTAGGTTATATAAATTAATATAAAAAAACCGTTTGAAGATCGAATGATTGTCTTTAAGTTGCATACAATAATCTATTATACATTACATATTTAGTTTAATTTTAATATTAGTCAGGTTTGTTAATGGTCAACCGTTTGTCGTTTGTATTATGATAAATAAATAAACACATTTTTGTTTTAACCGTGTTCATGAAGATCGTTTTATTTTTCTTGAGGTACTTAAATGTAAGGTTAAACCAGGTAAAAAAGGCCTAATTGAATACTACAGAATAATTATAGAATTAGCTATAGACGACATAATAACTTGTTATTACAAAAGCAGTCATAGATAGTGAAATATTTTATTTCTCATTTAACTCCATGAGATAATGAGTGGTTCATTATAAAAGAATCACCCTGTATACATATGTGAAGGGAAGTTATTGTTCGAATATCAATAATAATTCATTTAAAAAGTCAGTACAAATTGGTGACGATTTATTTTCTTACATTATGATATACAATGTTTTTTTTAACTATTTCTATAATTTTATTTTCTATCTTATCAAAAACAATTTGTTTTTCACAAAAACTTTTGAGATATAAGCTAATGACAAACAACTAAAAGATCGTACATTATTAAAATTTCACATTATACATTACAAAAACTATTATTACAGAATTATCTTAGTTTTTTTTCGTAAACGAGTTGGTTTTAAATGTATTTTCTTATGTTGTTTGTGTACTCAAATGTTTAAAATATTTATTTTCTTACATATTGGAACCACGTATCATGGTAAAATACTGAAAATACCAACAAAAAAAAACCAGAAAATACAAAGCTAAAATATCACAGCACCCAATTATATTATAAAAATAATTATATTTTAGGTTTTGTACATTATGAAATATCGATAAAAGTAGGAATTACAATCTAATTCGTAATGTATATTATTATAAAACTATTCGAGTATTTAAATCTTTAAAAATAATATATATATACATAATTATTGAAAAATCAAGATACTGCTACCATGTAAGAAATAAAATCGGTCAAACACATGTGTAAATACAAAAACAACTGCAAAACAAAATATGTTAAGAAAAACACCTCGTTTTCGATAAAAAATAAATAGTAAAACTATACAAATTTTTTTTGGAAAATACGAAGATTCCTATAATATTCAATGTTTGTGATACCTATAGAAACTTACCATTTGTTTACATTACAACAGTCGCTTTGTAAAACAGCTTGGTTGAACCAACTTGGTTTCGATAAAAAAATCAAAAACACAATATTGGATTACAATTTACACGATAAATGATTTTACAAAAACGCATTGTTGTATGTTATAATTATAAAAAAAAATTGCGATTTAGGAAAACCCAATACATTAACTATACGTAAATTTAAAAAAAATAGGTACCAATCACAGTAATTATAACAATGCATTCAAAAAAACTCTTTTTTGAATGAGGTCACAAGTCTTCAATAATTACTATAACTCAAAGTGATCAATTCATTTTCAAATTAACTTTTTCATTTGTGGACATTGCAGCTCACATTATTATACTTTCTTGCTGTGCTTGGTTTGGACTGTACTGGATTGATCTTAATTACAACATTTATTTGGTCAGTTAAGTGAGTCTGATGATAAAGAGAAAAAATAAATTGAAACATTACTTTTGAGATAAGCAATCTATCACAAAACCCAACATATAACATATTATATTACAATTGTATTTAAGTATGATTTCGGTTTTTAATATTTTCTTGTGCATTTTTATTATTTGATGTATCGAGTACTATTGAAAGTAATTGATGACGAGTGACAGGGCATAATCATTGGTGTATGTAGCGGATGGAAATCAAAATAAAATCTGACTATATTATTATTATTATTATTACCCTGTATTAAATGTTATAAAACACCTTATAATATACTACTCGTGTGCAAGTGTTGGATTCAATACCGTTACTTTGTTATTGTGTACACATTACACAGGTTTTAAAAAACATTTATATTAAACTTCGGAAAAACACAAACTATTCAACAAGCAAATTCAGTCCAACGCATTTAAACGTATCCACTAGCCGATAGCTGATGTGTAATATTTTTTTAAATTATATAATTTTCCAAGTTCTTGAGTCTATAAATTATTATTGTCCCATCATTTTCACATACATTACAATATAAGCGCATTACAAAAATAATAAAGTACTAAACGAAATTGTTCATAATGGCAGCAAACTCATGTCTTTTAATTTTAATACTAGAGTTGGTTTTTTCTTTAACGACTGTGTCATCATCTCCATTAACTAATATAATTGTGTCTAGACCTATTGCCGAAAAGATAAGCAATGCAGTGGGGAAGTTGAATTTATCAAAAGAAACAAAGGTAAAAAAAAATATAAAACATGTCATCATATTTATTACGTAATAACTATAAATATTTAAGACTTGTCTACTGTCTGTTCCAATAAAAATACCCTAAAACATACCGGCAGTGTTAAATACTGATACTAAATTTTAAAAGGCATGCTTTATTGATTGTTAAAAATCGATTTTCCTGTAACCCGAATATACTCAATCAATATCCACGTTAAATAACATAAAATAGGAAATCCAAAAGATAACTTATTTAATACTAAAATCAAATGTAAAAATCCCTTTGAGGTCATTAGATAAAGCACTAGTTGAAAAATGCAATGAATTGGGTATTTAACTGTCTTTATACTAGAAATTGAACAACAGCATGATAATCACCATTTGGTATATGAACAGGAACCATGTCAATGTCTCCTTTTCTATATAAATTAACTGTTCCAACTTCCAACGATTTTAGTGATATAGCTTAAGTTGCATACAATCCACTTATTATACATTATACATTTAACTTTATTTGTAATATTACAAATGTCTATGTTGTCAGGTTGCGTTTTTGAAGCAATACATCAATGTTGGAAACTACTCAAAGGATTTCATTGAGCTGCTGAATACTTACAAGACATTTAAGGACCTTCCCATTAGTTTTAATGCAGCCGAAATAAGAATATTGACCAGCAACACAGAAGATTCATTAAATCTTAAAACACTTGCTCAACTGAAATACTACCGCAAAGGTCAAGAAATTCAATGCGCACAATATGTGATATTGCAGTACATTTTATATGGGACAACTCGGGATAATATAGGCATTTTTAACCATGTAGATAATATGATAGTGATGGCATACAAAGGGAAATTTATAGTGTTCGACTGGCTTTGGAAATTACATATCAACCTATGGACACCTTCATTATACCTTGTGGCACAATCATTGAATATGGATAGAGTCGAGTGTGATCTAGAACAGTTTCGAAAACCTTTAGCTGATTTGGTGGGTATGTGCGCAGAACATAAATACACAACGGACATATTTAAACTTCTACAAGACCCTAATCATACAACAAGTAGGAAAATTGAGGAATGTCATACTTTAAACGTTGATAAACATATACATTATAATTACAAGAAACCTTTGCTCCCTATCACCTCACATTTATTCTTTATGAACTTTTGGAGTCAAGAATCGGTTTTGATTAGACCAATGCCTTATGTTGATATTGACTGGGATGTGATTAAGGAAAGGCACAATTGTGAGCTTAGAAAGGTCTATGATCAGTTTAATGTTAAGCAAGATTGGACGAACGATCCGTTTAGACATATTAAATTTCAGCAAATGTTTATAGATATTTTCAGGGTAAAACTATATTGTTTCATTTGGGTGACACTGTATACCAATCCTAGCGTCCATATAATTAGTAATACTGTCAAGAAACTGATTGCTAACTTGCTTGAGATCAGCTACATTGAAGACAAAACGTTAAACCAAGTATTAACGTTCTGTGATGAACCAAATCAAGGGCAGATTAAAGAAGTTTTGAAAATAATTGTTGATGAAGTAAATAGGATTTTGACATATTTAATTGGGCATACTAATAAAACTGAATTGGTCGACATTTCAAAGATTAATAAAGTCGCACCATCTGTTATTAGAAACGCAATTGAAACACATTTACAAGAATTAGAAGGATGGTATAAACCAAAATTAAAAGGACTAACACTTGATGTTTTATCGTTCTTTATTGATGGAAGTAAAAATACTCATCTTTCGGTTTTCCCTGGAAATTGATTTGAATGTATCGAATACAAATATCATAATACTACAAACAATAGTTACTAAAGTTATAATAATTAATATAAAAAAATCTGTTTGACGTATATATTACAATAATTAAATAAACACATATTCCTTTTAACCGTGTCCTTTGCTTCGTTATCATCCACCCTCTCTTTAGGGCGTTCCTCGTAGTGCAATTCTGACCATATGTTTCATAAACACATAATATATTTGATATGAATTTAGTTTAATTGAGCTCTAATAAATAGATCCCATTAAACTGTGCTGATGGTTATAATTTAAAGTAACCTTCAAAAAATGTTCTATGAAATAAATAGAACAGGTGATTTGCACCAAAATTGTTATCAGTTTATTTAGACAACTCAACAGTCATACTAGTAAAATGTTAGGGGAAAAGTCGGATAAAAAATATATTGTCACATTTTAAGCAGAACATATTATAAACGTTTTTAAGTGATAGACCTATATCTAAAGAAATGGACTGATATTAGAGGGAGAGGTCCGAGTGTCGAGAGTAGGTAATATTTCAAGAATTTGTTTATAATAGCATTTTTTTTTTATAAATTATGATTATGGCAACACGAGTGTTTTATTATTATATAGATACATATTGGTAGCGTTTTGTTGTTTTACAAATAACACTGTTTTTTTGAGTCATACTTTAATAAAACTATATGTACATAGTCTGAATAACACTTGCTAAATAATGTGTATTGTACGTGATAGGTATTATTGTTGCTTTAGTATAAGATAAAAAATAAATTTGATCGGTAAACTCTATGTATAGTTTTATACAATTTTATTGAAATTTGATAGAGTAACTAATTAAGTATGTACAAATAACAATGTACACAACTTTATGCCGGAAAATAGTTAAAACATTTAAAATGCTACACACTGAAAATGAGAAGATAGATATATTTTGTCTTAGCTTTATATAAGATAAAATCGACAACCCGAATTTTCGAAAGCTATACAATTTTCAATAAATATACTATTACATATATGATAAACTAACTCGACCCTTTCAAACGCTTTTATAATTGTTATAATAACTGTGACGAGTACCTATTTTTTTTTTAAATTTACATACAGTTAATGTATTGTAATCCAATATGGTATTATTATGTTTTATCAAAACCAAGCGTTTTTTAACAGCGACTGTTGTAATGTAAACAAATGGTAAGTTCCTAAAGGTAAAAACTAAATTATAATTATTTTTCTAATATAATTGGGCGCTGTGATATTTTAGCTTTGTATTTTTTCGGTTTTTTTTTTTGGTATTTTGAGTATTTTACTATGATACATGGTTTTACAATGCAAGAAAATATATAGTTCAAACATTTGAGTACACATATAACATAACAAATGTTTGCATTATATCTAGAGCTGTTAATTTATATTACAATAGTTTTTGTGAAAAATATCTTGTTTTCGATAAGGTAGAAAATAAAATTATAAAAATAGTTGAAAAAATATTGTATATTACAATGTATGAAAACAAATCGTTAACAATTTGTGTGAACATAAGATTGAAATAAACCTTATAACGCAAGTTGAGTGCATATTATATTTATGATTAAGCTTATAAGAGATCTGCATGTATTTTTAAGACTAAAAGGGTGAAATATTATGTTATGTGATAGAACAAAACTTATCGTTGATCACTCAATATTTTACTGGGCTTTACAAGAAATTTTATTTTTTCTTTACATAGTATTTTTATGCAATGGATCTCAATTTATCACAATTGTTTTTTTTAACCTCCCTTCCAACTTAATTTTTTTTATGGCAACTTTTGAAATTTAAATTGTAACGCATATATTTATAATATCTTTTATCGTATTCCTTATTTTTATAAAATATCTACAACTATTATTCAATTATAATATGAAATTTTACGCGTCCAATATTTGGTTGCACACAAATATTAATAGAATAAGATTTAAGTCCAATAATGTACTATTTTTGCAAAAGAAAAACATATATATTCTTCTTAATTTTTTTTTTTTAAAGAGTGACAGGGCTTATTCATTGGTGTGTGTGGCGGATGTAAATAAAAAAAAAATCTGGCTATATTATTTAGGGTATTATTATTATTATTACCCTGTATTAAATGTTATAACGCCTAATATACCTAATAATATACTACTCGTGTGCAAGTGTTGGATTCAATACCGTTATTTTGTTGTTGTGTACACATTACACAGGTTTTAAAAAACATTTATATTAAACTTCGGAAAAACACAAACTAATCAACAAGCAAATTCAGTCCAACGCATTTAAACGTATCCTCTAGCCGATAGCTGATGTCGAATATTTTTTTAAATTGTATAATTTTCCAAGTTGTTGAGTCAATAAATTATTATTGTCCCATCATTTTCACATACATTAAAATATAAGCGCATTACAAAAATAATAAAGTACTAAACGAAATTGTTCATAATGGCAGCAAACTCATG